ACACACATGTGTAAATATCATATAGTTTCCCTAGTATAAGAACTCAAAAGAAGAAATACAAATAGAAAGGTATAATACAACTAAAAGGAAAGCAAACACTTGAGGACTAGACAATGAGAAGAGCAAGGAGATGAGCTAGGAAACATGACAGGGGCAAGCCATACTGTTATATGTAGAAGATGGGTAAGGCAACGATCCTGAGAATCTTCAGAAGATTTTTGAATCTTGCAATTAATTGGAATGATTCTCACCCTGACTAACTATATATACAGATACCTGTGAACTAAGCAACTGCACTGAAGATGGCAATTTGTAATAGTAGGTTAATGCTTGCAGTGCCTGTCATTCTGGTCTTTAGAATATGGGCTGCTTGTCATGACATGTCAGTTGCTGCTGTGCTGTCTCTCAGGTAGATGATTGTTCAAAAAGAAAGGGGTGGTGAATGAAGACAGGAGACAGGAAAAGGAATGTTGTGGGACTGTCCTGCTACAACATTGTATATGGTTAGATTTCTGGACTTATGTGTAAACATAAGAATTATATAATTCTTTATGCCTATTTTAAAAATATATTTTAATTTTTTAAAATGTTTTTTCATCATATTCTATAGGGACTTAAAGTTCAACATATCAATACTTGATGAGAAATACCTGTTCATTGTTAAGCTTAAGATGTTTGATATGCAGACAGAGGTTTGATATGCAATGAGGTTAAGCTTAACAGCCTAGGTTGTATGGTAATAACAATAAGCTTCTTTTCTGGAGGGTTAACAACCTAAGTTTGCAGACCAAAATTAGAGAAAAAGGAAGGCAGCAAGGAAAGCCAATGTTTTGGTCCTAGCCTTCCAAGGTCAATTAAGACTCAGGACATATGAGAACTTGAACTGTAACGTCATGTAACTCGGTAGTGTCCCAAATTTTCTGATCAAGGAGATTATGGGGCCAAAGAGGAAAGTGACTGATGATGTAGAGTGTGTCTAAGGAGAGTCACATGGAGAGAAAACATTCTCTCAGGCTTTTACAAAGAGCACATTGGCCAAGCAATGGCCGTGACTCATCCACATGGCTGTCACTGACAAAGGTTCTACAATCTGAGGTACAGGATCTCAGGATAAATCCTGAGGGGATTTGACTGACCTTATCAGACCCAAAAGCTATAACTCTTGCTGCATAGGTCTTGCTTTATCTTAGTCTTAACCATCCAGCAGAAAAGTATAAAAACGAAGTACAAGAAGTAAAGCCATGTTGTTATGTTCAGCTGTAGGGGACTCAGGCCAACAATTTCTGACACTGTCAGTCAAGCAGAAGACCCAATACTATTATGGATTACTGGACTCTTTTAGAATATTTTTTTCTGAGTTACCATACCTATAATATTCAAATGACAGAACTAAACAAAAAAGGGGATATATAAATGAATGTCCATTTTTTATCTGTGTATTCAAAATGGTTAAGATGGATATATAGTTACATTCTCTTAATGAATAGAGGGATTTGTTGTAGTAGTGTTTGTAAATAGGATATCATATCTGCATCTTGTACATCAAATACGACTAAGAAGACAGTATGCAATGTATTATCTATTAAAACTGTCCTACCAATTTGATTTGAAACTATCTCATTGTTGTCTGTCAATAAAATTATGCAAAAAATAAAAGGAAAAATTATTTAAAAAATACAAAAAAACCCCTTTATAGTGAATAAAAAAATGCCAAGACTTTTTAGGATGCTCTGTACCTCATTAACATGACCCCTTGCCTGTGAAGTGGGTGTGTATTAAAGGTGCTGGACTGGATACCCACTTTCTCTCAATTGTCCATTTTATATTAGCTAGATTGGAGCTCTGAAAGCTCTCTTGTTTTATTTATGCATATACTTTTGCCTGATGGGTATTTAAAAGAATTTGAAGGCAGTATAATCATAGATAATACCAAAAGTAGTGCCCAGTAATAATTTATTGATGTCATTAATACTATAGAAATTTCAGGAAGCAATTCCATTTAGGTAGTCCACTGGGCTTAGGTGTGTAAGTGTTTAGGGGAAAGGGTGCTCATATTGTCAGTGATGGTGCTAAAAGCTGTGTTGCACCAAGGGAATCTTAAATTGTCATTCATGGTTAAAAGTAATCAAGAAAAGTTGTTGTTTTAGGAAGGATTCATTTGGTTACAAATGATAACAACACAATTCCAACCACCTAAAATATTTAAAATTTATTGACATGTGTAATTGATGAATATAGATCTTCAGGTATAGTTGAATCCAGGTTCTCAAATGGATTCATGGTTCCAAACCATGTTTGGTTCCTTTTAAGGAATTTTTTTTTCTAAGTGGAAAAGATAGCCTCTTACAACCCAAGGCTTTTTATAGTCCTTAAAATGTACAATCTCAGATAATTCAGTGTACATTCATTTTTAAAAGCTTCAGGAAGAATATTGGGGGAGATTTTCATTTGCTTTATTTAGGTCATATAATTATCTCCAAATTAACTGTGGCCAGAAGGAGGGTTTGTTATAATTATCCAGGTCATGGTCAGAGCTTATCTCTGGAACTGGAATGTGAAGTCAATTCTCAGTGGCAGAGAAGCCTCAAGACCTTTCCATTAGAGCTGCTTATTGGCTGTGTGGCATCCTGGGAGCAGAGTGGGATGTATCCTGGACTGAGATTCAGGTGGAGACCTGGGGCTAGACCCAGTGCAGCATTCATTCAATCAGTGATTATGGATCATCACTTTCTTATTGGGTCCCATATTGCCTATGTGTAAGGTAAAGGTTTTGGATCAGGTGATCCTGATAATCCTATCCATCTCAAAGTTTATGCAATCACTCTAGAGAGGAGGGTTATTGTAGGTGTGCAGGGAGGTGAGAAGTAATGGGCTACACAAACTCAAAGCACTCCTGTTTCTGATGTCAATGGTGATAATGAGAACAGCAGCCCTGCACTCTATTAGAAATAGCCCCCGTTTTTGCTGCTTCAGAGCTCTTGCCCCACAGCTCAGCGGCAATGCAGGAAAGAGACTTTGTCACTGTTGTAAGGTCACTGGGATAAATGGGAAGGTTGGCTGATTGCCTGAAAATGAGTTTGGCTTAAAAGTTTCTTGCCCAAGAAATGGAAAGGAAAAAAAAAGTCCTGCTGGGATAGCCAAGGGGAAAAAGAAGCGCGAGTGACCTCTTTTGAAAGAGCTGCAGCCCTGGAAATCTGACTAATGGCTGGAGAAGGTACGTGATGATAACTCACAGCGGCCACTTGGATTTAATTATAGCAACATTTGCAGACAATAAGTGGGTCTTGAGTGAGGCCAGCCTGATGATATGGCAGTGACAAAAGCTAATCTGGATCTCTGGCCAAAAGGATGGATGAGAAATGACTTGGAAATATTTCCTCTC